TTAGTCCGTCCACTAGGGTTTAGGTCAGAGCTGTGAGATTGTTTTGGTGTTTTCCCCTCTTGTTGCTCCTCTCCTCTCCTGGAATGTTCTTTCAAGGCCGAGAGAGGATCTTTGTTCCCCAAAACATAGAAACCTAGACTGTGTAAATGATGATGCATCCCTTTGCTCGGGGCCAGGCGCACGAAGCCACCCTAGGCGGCAGGTCTCTGAACCAGCTGTATGTGTGTTTAAGTACTTCTCTGTTTATTCTCTTTTGTTAAATAAATTCTTCAAAGACAACGGTTGGTTGTAACTCAATTCTTTGCTTAACCCCTCACCAGGAATACAATTTCCACAACACCATCCATTTAACTCTCCCGTTTCTCCTCTACCAGCTATTCTTCTGCTCTCCAAGTGGCCTATTCACTCCAATGACAGTGAACATGAACGCATTATGACAGATTCTTCCACCCCACAGTCACCGAAGTAAATGCTGGATCCATTTTTCAAAAGCCACATATCTTCCGAACATTATACTTAGCACAAATACAGTAATACTGTTGAAGGGACTTTTACATGAACCCATGAATTAAAAGTTTAAACTGAAATAAAACTTGGAAAGTGCAACCCCTACAATGAGGCATCATTCAGGCTACCTTTCCCTCACTACACTCACAGATGAGATTGCAATGGCAAGGTACAAACAAATTTCAATTCCTTCAATAGAGCACACACACAACAAATACCAGAGACTCAAAATAATATACTGTTGATGTCATCAAAGTGTAAAGAAACCGAACAGAAAATGATGGTGGAGTCTGGCAGCAGAGGGGCTTCTCCAGATGCAGTGCAGGCCTACTGTTGGTGGGTTTACAGCTGAAGCTGCAGTAAAACACATAAACTTAAAAACCTAATAAAACCTTCTGGATTCACATATGAACCTTGCATTCATCCACAAAAAAGGCAGCAGGTCTAATGTATAGTGGGCTCAAATTAAACACACACCAGTCACAATACTGTTTTATCAGGGCGGCAATAGCTGCAAAAGAACAAACACAGTCTCTTCCGTCCTTATTTGTTTGCTTAGTAACTCAGCTGTGCGTGCGTGCATGTGTGCGTGCGAGAGAGAGAGAGCGTGATCATAGTTTTATGAGCTGTGCTTCATTAGGACTGGGCAATAGTAAAGTAGCTATCCTCCCAGTGTGATGACGAAAGAAAGATCCCAACACAAAGGGAGTTGTCATAGTAATTTATATGGACAGAAATGTCACACACTGAGCGAATAAAAAGGCATTTTGGTTCCACTGCCAGCTGACTTTGTGACCAGTCCACTTTGTAATTTAGCCAAAAAGCTCTAGAGTGTCTGAAATCACTGTATTTAAGAGTATCTGGTTGAAGGGACCTTTACTTGAAAGATCAGAGGGGAAGTAGACCAAACCTTAATTCACCTCATCAACACTCTTTCTAGCAGTATCACACCCTACTCATGTTGCCACAGAGGAACAGACATGTTTTACTGTATAGCTGCGCTACACTGCTGTTAAGCATTTGCCACACACTTATAGTACACATGGAGTAGCTGAAGAGCTAATGCATGATAGATTTTTATACAATAATTAAGGGTTGACTTAAGATTTTATGTAGTCAGCAACATTTGGCTTTATAATACACAGTTATTACCAAAATGAGCACCCGAGCAGTGCATAATTATGCTGATGCAGGATCATACCTGGTCAGTGAGCTACTCACAAAGACACCAAAACTCTAACTTAAATGTACTGTTCAAAATGCCAGATAAACCAGTCAAACCTGTTTGAAAAATAACCTGAAGTGTGTCCATTGTAATTGAAAAAGTATCTAAATTGAGGCAACTGAAGGCCATAGTGTGATCTTTTATCTCATACCCTGCTATCAATGTAAATGATGAGAAACAAGAAGACAAACTTTACTCATACTTAAGTACAAATCAGACGTTGACTGTAAAAACGTAGAACATCTACATCTCTGTATCACAATGGCAGCTGAAAGGTCACGAGCCGTCTACATCTGACATCAAAACTGCAATGAATGAGTAGTACTGTATGGACATCGCTCTCAACAGCTCACAACTCAAATTTGAAGTCAGGGATGAAACAAGGTTATTTGTTGATGTTATCAGGTGACATTTCAACCCTATGCAATAAAGAAGTTGGATTAATGGAAGAAAACACGACTACTGTACCATATGGTCCTTTGGTTTTCCAGCCAACATTTTCACTTATTATAGTCTGAACAGCCCAGGTGGTACTAATAACATTAACGATGGCTCCCTTGTATTTAAGTGTGCTAGTAAAAAGACACGGCAGAGTGACTGTGAGCCAGTAAACATGATGCCATGGACCCTGAACCTGAACCGGTTAAATGGATTTCAGTGATCATTTATTTTAAATATTTGCACTTGTGCCTTCACTCCTGTGACATTTCAAACTATGACAAGTGTCACTATGTTCAGGTGGCAGCAGCACATCGATTCAGGTGAAGCTGAAAGGACCAAAGACATTACCCAGACAAAAAAAAAGCACATTGTGGACAGCACCTACAGCAGGTTGCTGTTCCACCAGCAAAAGAAGAGCATGCCAGTTTTTCTCCTCTAGCCACCCACTAGACTGTTGCTGTTTTGCTTCAGAGCTATTCATAATTATTGTCTGAGTGGCAAAGAGACTGTAGGCAAATGGAGAGCAAGCTGATGTGGCTGCTGGAACACTCTCTCTGTTGTCAATACTGACCATAGGCTACAATTGCTTGTGTTGCTGTGGACGCTCTTAACCACATTGAATAGGCTGTCATGGAGCTGTAACTAACTAATTCCGCAGTTGCTTGAATAAACAATGAAATCACTGCTATCAGGTAAAAACACCTATTAATGGCAAAACCCTAACAATGACCCAGAACCACAATTATCGAGCCATATAAAATATTGTTTCTGAACTGACACGATGAACTGCACACTATAGTAAGATTATACCAGACATAATGCAACATCAAATGGAAAGCTCAATTTGCGCATGTTTTTTTTTTAGTATCCAAGTCAATTCGGGTGGTGTTGTTTTTTCTGGAATAAATTTAGCCTATATCTAATTATCCAGAAGCTCGTTTTAAGAAACACAACCCGTCAGAGGAAGAATACAAATGTTTTTAAGCCTGTAACGTTATTTGTCCTAGAAAGACTTACCCTAAAGGCGGTTTTGAGGACTCCGTCATTGCAGTGATTACGGTGGTATCCAACTTCAGTCGATAGCTGTACTGGGCTCCCAAAATCCGCTGTTGCTCTTAAACTCGGTGGAAATCCATTATGCTATCACCTGCGAGTTAGCATATCAACATTTAATTAATTTGCTTCCGTTAGGGTTTCTAACATATCTCATACAAATAAAACGGCCTGTGTGTTTGACAAGAAAATATGAACTTTATTATTTTCTATTACAGGTTCAACAAGTGACAGTGCGCAGCGATGACAGTCCAGTGTGACCTGAAGCACAAAGACCGCAAAGTGTACGTGAAGGCAAACTACGACACACGCACAAAATCGACACGTTCAAAAACTCCAACTTACTTTAGTCACAACGGCCTCACTGAGCCATTCTCATGGACTGAGTTACTTGTCAAATCCACTTGATATAATCTTCGCATCCCCCCCGGCTGATTTTCCCTTGGGCATGGTCACGTCAGCTGAATTAATAAATACAACATCCGGTATAACCTTTCAAAATAACAGCTCATAACTCATCTTAACTTAACTTAACTTATCTAAGTCTATTATTTCGGACATATTATGGGATATAAAACTACACTGATGGGGTTACAGGTGCAGACGAGGAGTTTTACGTTCAGTCTTCTTGTTGGTCCACTTCGTTTTCATACTTTAATGTCGTTAGGCTGCCTCTATAATGCCTCCTAAGAAATTCCGACTTGTTTTTTGGAAGGCACTGCTATGTGGTGTCCTGTCTTTTGCAGCTACGTCTGTCTAACTTGACGCAGCTCTCTCCAGCCAGTCTACGTCAGCAGGTCTCATGTCAATCATCCTCATCGGGAATTCAATGGGCGGCGGGCGCCAGCTGGAGAGCGATGGCACGAATATACAAGCACACCACAAACAAACACTCAATAGAATTAGGCCTCACAGCTGAACATAAAGTGATATGGCCTACATTAAATTTAAGAGACATTGTGTTATTATTATTGTTGGTGGTGGTGGTGGTTTTGCTGCTGCTGTTACACATAATTTAACATAGGCCTATAACATACACGTCTAAGTCGTTATTTGAACAAATCTTCTATGCATAGGCTAATTTCTCATTAAAATTCTATGTTGAGAATTCAAATATTTTCTCCCGGCATGCTTTGTGCTGTCTTGCTCAGGCACTATGCTCAGGCAACGCCTCCATTCACAGTTAAAGTACGATTCACCACCACAAGAGGTCTCTCATAGACCACGCTACGATTTTAGTGCTCTCGACGGGGTTAGATATCAGATAGTGAGCAGAGTTGGGCAGCATTACTATAGGCTACTATAATAACACATAGTGTAATAATAACAATTATATAATAATATTCTTATTAATAATAATAACAAAAGGAAGAAGACGAAGAAGAATGCCTCTATAACAGCTATCAATTAGCAAAATCAGTGCAGCCTGAAACATGACACCGTCACGCAGCATCAATACTAAAACTTAAACTAAACTTAAACTAATAGGCTTATTCTATAGTCTATGCATAAAATAGGGATCTCTCTCTACATAGGCCTAGAAGATTATGATCCTGATCATTCAAATGAAAAAGCACAGCATTGTTGGTATTTTGAATGACGTGATCAAATAGACTGAGTTTCTTTCAGCAAATATAGCCTATATAGGCAAGTTTGAGGCTTTAAGATAAAATCATTAGTCTTCTGTAGCCTACAGTCTTCTGCATTTCATTGTGTTATTTTGTCTTTTTATAGCATTTTAAGCGTCTGTGAGAGTCAGGCCCCTGATAAAGATCTCCTCACACTTACAGACGAACAGGAAACATCATCTGCACTTCTCGTTCTCTACAAGTCATTAATAGGAGACTGCTGAGTTTAAGCGTTAGTTCCTCGCTATACATTTGAGGACACCACATCCATAAATATCCGGACGAAGAAATAAGGAGACCTAACCTGCCAACTACACCCGATAGGAGAAGGCATCACTGAGATATCACCATGTCAGGTGAATACATTTTAATAATTATGATCTGTTGAAGAAATATTTGTGCGTGATATGTTGTGATCCTTGAGACTTATAGGCCCGTCCGTTTTCAATTTAAATCTAAATGCTGGAATGCAATATTGGCTACTTCCTTTCTTTGGGTTTCTATTTGGATCTTTACAGGTGCTAAGGTAGACTAAATAAAACAGTTCAAACGAATTCAATTCGGAAGTAATTACCACATCAAACACTTAGAAATCTGTGTGAAACCCATCTAGAACGCATAAAATACTGATATCAGCCAAACAGACTAAATAAAATAGAAGCTCTCAGTGCATGTGCTGAAATTGGCAGGGATATAATAGACAGTATCACAGCAAGTTGTCTGAATAGGCATGTAAGAGTGTAACCACATATAAACCACTTTGACACCAATGTTTGCAATGGTGTTAAAAGTCCATTTTCTTAAAGTGTTCGCATTATTTTGTCTAGCCGTTAATGTGTAGGCATGACAAAAGTTTCCCAGCCAGGGAATAAATTAGCCTAACATTACCTGTGAAGACCAGCAGGTGGCGTAATAACCTCCATTATCAATTGATTTTAAGGGGTGTTTCACGGCCAAAACTCAAATGATGATGGTAACAACCCCTGGCAGATAGTTTGGGTTTTGTTTGCAGATGGATTAAGTAACCTACATTTTATTTTATGTTTTGTTTTGCAGCAAAGCTGCTGGAGGCCTATTGTGTTTGTTCTCATTATTTGTCTTTTTACCACTTTTCTCTAAAACCTATTTTTGCGAACTCGTTTTTGCCAATCAACTTGAAACTTTGGCAGGATCCTCTACGGACGTCGCTGATCAAAAGTTATCAAAATAATTTTGATACGTCAATCTGTTTTTTCCCCCCATAAATTTTAAATCAAAATTGTCTTAGGCTATTGTAACCAAACTTGAGGCGTCTGTTCAGATGCACAGTCCAAATCTGCTGAGCAGAACTAAGGGGCACTACACTTGCAAAAAATTTATACCTGGTAATTCATTATTACTGGGTATGAACATAATTAACTTCTGTCTTCTATATCTCCACAAGTTTTTGTTCAAACGCTACCAAAATCAACACAGACGATGTCTGTGTATAGATGGCCAATATCAAGTGTATCAAAGGGTTTTCAAATCGGTCAAACGGTGAGTCTGCAGTGATAATCATTATCTTGCTGTAACTTTTACAGTAACTTTTGTAGCCTATGCACAACATTTTCTTTTTTGCTTAGTGTTGGATCAAAACCAGCAGAATGATGCATTTTCACTGACAAAACTATCCAGGTGTGGCGCATGTCATACTACTTGTAAGAGCGTCGGAAACACCCTCTCACCAGTAGATCAGTCAGTAAGTCACCTACTCTGGAGATCTAAAGATCCAGGACTCAAATCCTCAGGTGACCAAGTCACCAGTTTAATCTCTTAAATCATCTGCCTCTGTTCTTCGCCTCTGAAAATGTCAAATGTTTCATTTTTCACGACTAGCTAGGATCCCGGTCATTGCCATTTGCGGCTAAATTTAATTTTTTGTTTTAATTTATTGTTGTGTTTCTGCCTTTACACTAATACAGTGTGGTTAAATTGCATATAGTCAAACATTAGCCAAACTGGCACATTTACAGAAATGTTTTTTTAATGTGAACCGTCTTTTTAACCTTAAACGGTATAAATGAAATTAAATAAACATTACATTTCTTTGTGGCGCTAACAGCACAGAAAAATGAATGACATTTAAAAACACTGTCTTTCCATGAACAGGGGCCATAGTAGTAGAAAAAGTAGCTCCTATGAAAACGCTTGAGATGATATAACGTTAAATTCTATTCACCTCCACTAGCAGCATTTGTTTACAGGTAACCTGACCGTTTTAATGTATTTTATTGTTTATGAATTACAATGAAAATAAGGTAAGATGTTGTGAATGTTGAAATTTAAAAATCTTTTTCTGTCTGCAGATTATGATGCAAATACCACCGCCATCTCCTATAATTATTCATCTTATTATGATGACATGGATATTGGAGACTTCAGTCCTTGCAACTACGACCATGTGGGAAATTTTGGCAGGGTGTTTCTGCCCACTCTCTATAGTTTGGTTTTCATCCTCGGCTTCATAGGTACGTGTGTGTATGTGCGTGAGTGAGTTAGAGACCATAGCCTACACGCACAGTAATCTCTAAGATGTAACGTTCGCCCCCTTCTCTCCAGGTAACGGCCTAGTGGTGTGTGTCCTAGTGAAGCACAGAAACCAAACCAACTTGACAGACATCTGCCTTTTCAACCTGGCACTCTCCGACCTCTTCTTCGTCCTCACGCTGCCTTTCTACTCTCACTACTCCGTGGTCAGCGAATGGACTTTCGGAGGCTTCATGTGCAGCTTCATCGCCGGTTTGCACAACATCGGGTTCTTCAGCAGCATCTTCTTCATGGTTGTCATGACGCTGGACCGCTATGTCGTCATCATGCACGCGCACACCGTGGCACGATATCGCACCTTGAGGAAAGGCATCGCTCTGACCGTGTTCGTCTGGATGCTCAGTTTGAGTGTTTCCCTCCCGGCTTTCATCTTCACAAAGATAACAAACGAGTCCGGCGTGGTGCGTTGTGCCTACCTCCCGGAAAACGATGGCTGGGAGACTTACAACCTCTTCGCAGCAAACATGCTGGGTCTCGTGATTCCCTTGTTGGTGATGGTAGTTTGCTACTCCAGGATCATCCCCACCCTGGTGAACATGAGGACTGCAAAGAAGCACCGCGTTGTCAAGCTGATCTTGACCATAGTGGTTGTCTTTTTCTTGTTCTGGGCCCCATATAACATTTGCCTTTTCTTGAGGTTTCTGAAATCTAAAGGTAAATTGTTGCTTGATTGCAAAAAGGAAGGGCAGTTAATGGTGTCAGTAACAGTGACTGAGACCTTTGCCTACACTCACTGCTGCCTGAACCCCATCATATACGCCTTTGTGGGGCAAAAGTTTATGAAACGAGCTGTGCACCTGCTGAGCAAATGGGTGCCCGGGAGTCACTTCAAAGATTTGTCAGACAGCTCATTCAGGAAGAGCTCAGTCATGTCCAGGTCCTCGGAGTTCACCTCCACTTTCATCAAGTAGGAGGTGGAAGTCAGAGTAATGTGTTTTTATGGACATCACCTGCAGAGCCTGGCATGTTTTTATCCTGGTAGCCTTGTTGTTACTGCCAGCCATTGTTCAAGTGTTATTCATCAGCAATGTCCTGTACCTGTACATGTCATTATCTTTAGACCTTTTTGATTTCATTTGTTCCTTGAATTTCTGCTGGAATACAGTATTTTGTTCTGACCACAATTCAAGTGTGACCTGATAAGCATCATCATCTTCTGTATGATGTCAGGTATTTTGTAAATAATTTAATGCCCCTCCTTTTCTGCTGACATTGGAGAAAATAGTCGCACATCTTGACTGAAAGCATGAATTGTTTGAAACAGCTCGTAACCACAGAGTTTGTTTGTCTGTGCCTAATGTGTTTAAAACATGTCCGCCATTTATTTCCTTTTTCACACATTGGTTGATGAGCCTGCAAGGTGGTGAAAATAACATTCATACTACTGTATATGGTATAGCTACCTTTTTTTTAAAGAGACAAAATGCTATTTTATAAAATTGAATTGTTTTTATCGCTTCGATTGTGGAAAAGGTTTGTCCATTCAAAAGTCTGGCGATGAATCAAAACTACAAAAGCTGTAACCAACACAGGGTTATGTGGCACATTTTAAACATTTAGATGTCGTGATTCATCATGGCACCTGGAACACATTTTGGCTCATGATACATACCCGTCAGTGTTCAGATATTTTCTCAACATTGTTTTGTCCTCACATTTGAATATATTACATTCATTTATCTTTTATCCAAAGCGATTTACAATTGCTATGGGTCAGAGCTCGCACTCCTCAGGAGCAATGGAGGGTTTGTGGGTCTTCCCCAGGGACACACTGGTAGTGGGAATCCCAATCTCCCACAATAAAGGCATGTATCTTATCCAAAGCATCATTACCATCATCATATGTACATTTTATTGCATATTTCTGTTTTCATTGTGAAAACATTCTTCTTTCTCAGATTATTTTTACACACACACACACACACACACACACACACACACACACACACTTGATGCTGATTACTCTTTTTTTTGTTATGATTTGTTGTGGTTTACCAATGAGATTATTAAAGTGTCACAGAGTACCAAACAATGGTAAATGGTCTGTACTTGTATAGTGCCTTTCTAGCCTTTCCCACACTCAAAGCACTTTTCAGAACATCACATTGGGACTTTATTTGGGGTTCAGTGTCTTGCCCAAAGATACTTCGACACAGACCTCATAGTTTGCGATATTCATTGACACATGAACGTCAAATCCATATCTAAACTAGTGATGGTTGTTGAAAATTATGCTTGTACCTCTGACATTACAGCATATTCAAGGGGACAAAAATTTTAATAATTGCTGTGGATTTCATTCAGATTTGGAGAACTACTTTTAGGTCTGAAATAACAACCGGTGGACTTCAAAAGGTTTGATTCAGAGGCCTTTCAGACATGACTCACTAAATGATGATTATATTTGAAAAGTTCAACTTAAAGGGTGGGAAAGTCCAGTACTATCTCTGGATTTCCTCACATCTACACATGAATGTTTATCAGATTGCCTCTTCCCAGAGGAAAAATCCTTTGTTCAGAAATTGTCTTCACTTTAACTCTTGAGAAAGAGCTCTCAATTGTATATATTTGAGATCACTTCAATCTGAATTGTTGCTCTTAAAACCCTCTTAGGAGCAAAGATGAGATAAGGAGAGATTAAGGTTTTGAGACTTAGGTTTGACAAATGGATATTGAACTGAGATTACAATATGATAAATGAAAGTTCAGATGAGCTCATCATTGTAACTTTGAGTTCATTAATGACTTGCTTATTGCTAATAAAAAAGCATTTAGGAGCAAGCAGGGGAGATTTTAGTGAGCTCAATTGTATTGCATTAGTCTAGAGATCCTTGCTGGAGGCTTGTCCTGAACTGGATTTGAACGCCTGCTGTTCAGAGGGCGATGACACTGCCACGTCGACCATTCAGCTAAAATGAACAGTGATGGAAAATCCTCTCCTATCACAATTAGTGTGGTTGAAAAGGTTGGTGGACCCAAATGTAGGTAGGTACAGTTTGAAGATTTATTTTAAGGCAAACAAAAAGCGAGCACACTTACAAGTTGAGTGGCTGAGTCCAAAGAAATCTAAAACAATCACAGTCCAAACAAACAAGGTGATCTAACAGAAAATCCAGAAAGGGTATGATCCAAAATCCACATAACGAACAGGGAACAGGGAACAGGGAACAGGGAACGGGGAACGGGGAACAGGGAACAGGCAGGGCATGACAAGCTATGATGACCAGACATAGGCTTAACAGAACAAGCAAACATTTATAGAGGGACTAACCGGCAGGGCGGGAACAACACAGGTGACAGGCAATCAGAACAATCAAGCACACAGATACACAGGCAGGCAGAGTGATCACAGGGGAAACAATCAGACAGGCATTACTGGGTGTAACAGACAGAAGCAAATCTAAATGCAGAATACAAACATCATAAAGCAAAACTAAACACAACAGGAAACAAGCAGATTGAAACATTAACAAGTTGTAAAACACAAGACAAGAATTTAACTGGAACTCAACACAGAACAGACAAGACAGACTAACACTTCACGACTTTCAGCGTTGGCCGATCGCTGTGCTGTTCAGACTACACAACTTCGCCTTCTTGTGACGGGAATCTTGGCTCGTTATGGCGTTCACACTATGTGACTGATCAGTGACAGGGGGTCCATCAAGTCTGGACACAGATGGGGTAACTGCGTCCGCATGGTCCTAAAACATTAAATAATTGATTAAATTGATTGTGTTGTCAACGGTTTTTATTAGAATTTGTTTATTAAAAGGCTATGGCTTACATATAATTATGGACCAGACCTCCATGACCTCGTAGCTGGTTATGGCCATGGGAACAATCCTTCCCTCCTCTTATAGCTGAATTAGGCAGTCAAATGTTTAATTTTTTTCCTTTATATGTCCTCCTCTGTCATTGGCAGAAATTATAGAGAAATGTGTTTTTACATACCTCAAAAAGACTTTCTATCAGAAAGGAAGGTATTTCAATGTATAACTGCAGGACTGCAATCTCGAAGTATATACAGTAAAATGCATAATTTTAAATCTGCATGTAGTTAGTTATCCTGCACTCAAATTGTCATTGTGAGGAATTATTTATTTAATGTTTTTCCAGCAAAGCAAAATTTAAGAATAAAGGTTTACATTTTAGTGTTGTTTTTTTATAAATATGTAACATGCTTTATAGCCGACTTCTTGTGAATTTAATCTCATATGTTGTGTTAACACCTTATTTTGAAAACCAGATGTTGTGACATGTGTATCCTCATGCTAAATTCACCAAGTCCGTCACAACTTGATAAATGATATTATATGGGGTACTCGTATCCAAGGCCGGATTAGTACCCCCCGGGACCCTCCGCTGCTCCCTAACACTGAATCCACAAACACGCACACACGATGCTAAGGTCCACCTTACTTAGGCTATTTGAACTTCCAGCCAAGCTGGCATGTCAAACCACACACATATTGGTGAAAAAATTGGATGACTAGTCCAGCTGAGCAGGCAGCAAGGATGCCTGTCCAGTTCAATAAACCAAGTTACTGCCATCTCACTCACAAATCACAATACAATGATGAATTCAATCATCCCAAGACCTATACTATGGCAAAATAGTGTTCACTGAAAATCACCCAAGCAGAATCACACTAGTAATTCTGAACCAGGTTCCAGTTTGGGTTCAGGAGGCAGACACCACATTTAAGAGTAGGCTTAAGACTGTCCTCTTTGATAAAGCTTATAGTTAGGGCTGGCACAGGTTAGTCCCGAACCATCCCTTAGTTATGTTGCTTTAGGCCTAGACTGCCGGGGGATTTCCTATGACGCACTGAGCTCCTCTCTCCTCTACTTTCTCTCCCTCTGTATGCAACCTCATCCCATTATTGCATGTTACTAACACAACTTCTCCCCTTTCCGGTAGTCTTGTGCTTTCTCGTCCCTCTCCTCTCTCCTCCTATCACTTCCTGCAGGTGTTTCTGACTCTGGAGCTGTGGAGTCTGGATCTGTGGCTGCGGGTCACCTGCTGCCCCCGTGTTCCTGCTCGACACCCTCTGCTGCAACGACTATTGTTACTAGTCCTATTATTATTATTGTTATTATAATAATTAACGACTGTTACCATTAACACTACTATAAATATCTGTACCATTTTTTCACTTAGTCTATAGCAACATCACCTTCGCTGTCTGTACCTCTGTGCGTGTATATTGTGTAGGCTGCCTCCCTCTCTCTCTCCTTCCATCCCTCTCTTTTTCTCTCTGTTCCTCTCCTGCCCTCTCTCTCTTTCTCTCTCTCTCTCTCTCCCTCTCTCTCCTTCACCCCAACCGGTCGAGGCAGATGGCCGCCCACCCTGAGCCATGGTTCTGCTCGAGGTTTCTGCCTCTTAAAAGGAAGTTTTTCCTTGCCTCTGTCGCCTAGTGCTTTCTCTTGGTGGGAACTGTTGGGCTTCTGTAAATAGCATCACAGAGTACAGTCTAGACCTGCTCTTTTATGAAAAGCGCTGTGAGATAACTGTTGTTGTGATTTGGCGCTATATAAATAAAATTGAATTGAATTGAATTGAATTGAAACATGACTGACTGAAGATACAACAATGCACAAAATCACACAACACTGCTGAGTGCAGTTTGCAAAAGAACAGTCGCTAAGTGAGCTAGGCCACTCTCTACCCAAGGGCCCCTGGGCATGTGCCCAGATTGCTCATGGTAGATTTGGCTCAGCTTGTATCGCATTACATACAATTAAGACTTGATAGCTTCTCTTCATATAAGACTCTCTTACTGCAACACTTGTCTTTATAAACAGATCAAATGACAGAATACATTATGGCTGAACAATTTGGGGGGGAAAATTAATTGCAATTTTTCTGCCAAATACTGGGATAACGATTAGATTTTTTAAATTGAAGTTTTGCCAAAGTTCAACATTCACTGTCTATTTTTGACTGAAGCCGCGTCAAGCAGCACAGAGCAGATGAACCAGGCAGGAAGTCAGACACAGAACGGCATAGAGAATCCAGTCAATTTTCAAAATAAAACACCTTTTGCAGATTCCCGATCCTACATCAATAAACACAGTTAAAACAGACAAAAAAAGGACAACTGAACAAATAAGCAAAATCTGAACAAGTCAGCAAAGCCAGACATGCAAAATGCTCTTATTCTGAAGTACTCCATGTGGCTATGTAACGTTAGCCTGCAGAGAGCGGAACGGGCCCACAGAGAGCTGTTCTATTTCGTATAGGCTTCGCCCTCTAAGGCTATCGCTATTGGGTTTACGCCTTCCGCGCGCCTACACGGCACTGAGAATTTCAGTCTACGCCCACCCACAGCGTGGGAAGGTTCTCCGGGCCCCGGTCTCCACCTACTTTCCCATCACTAAGGTGGAGGCGTTCTCGGATCTGGGGTTTCAGCCAGTCTCCCCCCAGGAACCTTCCCTCACCACCTTCTTCGGGGTTAAGCCAGGCCAGGTGGCGCCCGGACGGCGCCCCTGCCTGGCCTCCCAGGCAGCGCAGTGGTTGGGTCGCATCACCGACAGAACCCACCAATGCGCCTTCCAGAACTCCGCCTCCGCCAACAACGTCGCCCTCATCGCATCCTCCTTCACCAAGCCGGCTGCTAACTCCACCACCATGTCGGAGGAGTAGAAGGAAGAAATTAGCAAGGGGGCTAGTGCGCAGCTCACAGAGTGCCCCGGCCGCTCTGCTGGCGCAAGGCCGCACTTCCAAGGCTCCGTCTCTGGCCTGCTCATGTTGGCGGTTCACGTGGTGGTTCCCCTGGGCCTCCTCCACATGAGCAGGCTGCAGCGGTGGTTCATCCGCCTGCGTATCGACCCGGTGAGACAGAGACGGCGCCGATTCTCCGTACCCCGGTCGTTGGCTCCGGATCTGGCATACTGGCGAGACCCCCCTCTCTCTTTCAGTCGGGGTCCCCCTGGGTAGGGTCACGTCCCACATCTCGGTCTTCATGGACGCCTCCCTGATGGGCTGGGGCGGGACCTGCCTCTCTCGGGTGGTGGGCAGTCTGTGGCGGAGCCG